CTCACTTGGTAGCCCAGGCTGGCCTCGAACTCACAGAGATTCGCCTGCCTCTGCCTCCCGAGTGCTGGGATTAAAGGCGTGCACCACCACCGCCCGGCCACTTTAACATTTTTAAGTGCCTAGATCAGGAACATTAAATGTGTTGACGTTGTCTCATGTCTCTAACTAGAATTGTACCCATTAAACACTAACTCCCCCCCACTTCCACAATCTGTCCCTTTGAGTTTGACCGTTCTGGCTCCTTATTCAAACTGCACAGCATCTGCCCTTTTGTTACTGGCCTACTTCACTTAGCACACTGTCTTCAAGGCTTATCTATGTTGTAGCATGTGTTCACATTCTTTGCTTATCCATTCAGTGATTGAAAGACACCAGGGTTACCTCTGCCTTTCAGCTAGTCACACCCTCTTCTTAACCATCTTAGCCTGCAAGTGACTTCTTTCTGATCACATCTCCCAGGTGAACGTATTGAGCAACCCCGCCCACATTCAAGGGGACCAGGAAATGCAGTCAGTCTGCAGCTGGTCGGGCAGCCATTTCTCAGAACCAACTCAGCCTATGGAGGGTGAGGCCGTTTGTTGGTAGATAATGAACGGGCTTTCCAGTCCACACCTTCACGTACTTCCTGAAGCAGCTACTTATGCTGGTCCAGAAGGAGAAATCATTTCCCAGGCTCAGTCCTAAGACAACAAAGACTCTGAGTTCTGAATGTACTTTAAATAAATAGTAAACACGGGCATTTGTGCTGTCTTTGGCAGTTTTCAGTGTCTTTTTAATTTGCTACACAGGTTCAAGTTTTGATTGTCATTCTTGTCTCATAGGGTGATATTTGTAGAGCCCTTGGCTCCCCAGTAAATTCAGTAATTAGTATTTATTGATTTTCATGGCAACATGAGGTATGTATTATTTCTTTATTTGTATATCTATTTTGCTTTAGAGAGAATTAAATAAATTTCTCAGTTCCCCAGATCGTAAGCGGCAACTCCATTTCCCCACCACTGATGTCTTCAAACAGGAAGTTCTCAAGCCAGCTGCTCTTTGAGCCGTCTCTTTCCACTCGAGGCAGTGGACAGGAGCTGAGCCCCACTGGGAAGAGAGAACAGTCCTGTCACTCAGCTTGACCCTTATTCGTCCCCCGAGGGAGCTGCCAGGACCCCCTTGGCACAAAAGGAATATCATCCACTGCTCCTGCCACTGCCCAGCATCATCCCTGGAGCCCCTCCTGTGTTTCAGGTCCTGGAGATGGACAAGAAATCAGAAAGTATTCCTTCCCTCCAAAGTGTGCAGCAGCCAACCAGCAAAATGGCCACGTGGACACAGAGCCCTCATACAATAGGATGGGCCGTATACAGTGACCTACGAAGTGCTGTGGGGATGTGGATGATAGGCGATTAGTTTTGCCTGACGTGTGGCAAATAATGGTAAGAGGTGACAACTGGCTTAAGGTGGTGGCTCGGTGGCTAAGCGTGCTGAAACCCTGACTTCAAACCTCCAGTGCCTACATAAAAGCAGGCTGCGTTCATGCCGGCGACATGGGCTGTGTACGGGAGGGTGGAGACAGAGGATCACTGGGCTCACTGGCTACCAGCATGTCTCCAGGTTCAGAGAGACCCCGAGGAAGTAAGGAAGAGTGACAGAGGAGGACACTCAGTGTCCTCTGGCCTGTGTGTGTACTCATGAGTGCACACACCTTTGAACAGACATGTGCATATACCACATGCACATACCTCATACCTATACCATATGCACACAGCACACATAAACTCTCCCAAACAACATATATGTTATAAATAATGAATTAAATAAATTATTTAAAAGATGACAACAGAGCTAGATGTAGATGGCTAGGAAATATTGGGAAGATCTGTTTGAGAGAGGAAAAACAAACAAGCCCTTAGCAATCTGGAAGAGTGCAGGTGTTTGAGGGTCAAGGGCAGGTACAGCAGGGGTGACGTACAGTTGAAGAGAGGAGGAGGTGTGCACAGAGACATGACGGGGAGGTGGTGTGGGGCAGCGGGAAGAGCCGCCATTCTGCTGATGAGGTAGGGAGCAGGCAGTCTGTTACAATGCCTCCTCTGGCTGCAGTGTTAACCAACTCATTTCATTCCAGCCCTATTCACTTCTAGAGGGCAGGGCCACTCCTGTCATGCTGGGGTACCCCCCCCCCCATGCATACCACAATGCAGGGTCACTGGAAGTAGAGCAAAGGGCACCTGGAGATACTTATTCTCCCACAGTGACTCTCCCTGCCGATGAGGAAGGATTCCTGATAGACCTTCCTTTTGACCAATAGACTAAGCCAGCCCTGAGTTGGGTGTCTTGAAGCTGAGGTCTCCAATGACACCTGCAAGCACAGAAGTGAAGCTTGGAGACACCAGGACCACTGTGGTTTGTCCCTTGTCCCATAGTGCCAGTGTGCAAGAGACGGGGGAGACAGAGGTGCTTGTGAGCAGAAGGTGTCACCTACCACAGGTCCTCCCAGACACTGCGCTCCCATGATACCTGCGTCTTCAGGGCTCTGACAGTAGAACATGATGCCAAGACTTGTGTTTCTAAGTAATCTACAAATGGAGGCCAAAGCCAAAGGCCTTCTGGATTGACGGTGGATGTGTGTCAGG